CCTTGTCGTTGAGCAGGAATGGAAAAAGTTGTTTCAGTCCAAATGGGAAACCCTGAACTTCTCTCCCCTCCCCTCCTAGAGCAAATAGCTCCTGTTCTATGGGAACATTTTAAGAAATTGGAAAACGAGCTTTGTGGTTCAGCAAATGAACCTTTCAAGGTTTTACACAGACAGGTGGGATGTTTTAGTTGTTTTACCTACATGGGCTGGTCTTGGGACACAAGTTCTGTGGAATTGTGCCTGGTGCTGCCAATGCTGAGTTAAGCACCTGTGAATTGTTGGTGTGCAGAAAGCCCAGGGGAACGTTGGCATCAAGATCCATTCCACACACAAAAAGGTGAAAAACTAGTTTTTAGTAAATAAATAAATGGGGCTTTTTAGGCTGTGAGGTATTTTATTTCTATGATGCCATCCTGTTTGGTAGCTTGTGAACAGCTGAAGTTGCTTGAAGGCATTTCAGGCTTGAATTGGGATGTTAAATGCAATGTCTTTTCCTGTTTTGTGTTAAAAGCTGCCAGGAATCCTTTGTGAGTTTGTTTGGAAAGAACATCAAAAAGAACCTGTTTTCTCTTGCTAGAATACCCAGGTTCTGCTCTCATTTCTTGTACTTCCCAGGGAGCTGGAGTGACTTCTGTGCTGGGATTTGCCTTTGATTTGAAAACCTTGGATAAATGCACACCAGGCAAACTCCTTTTTCTTTGTGCTTCCTCCTTTTTCTTGTGTGCTTCTTAATTGATGGTTGGGATGGGACAGGCCTTTGACCTGGCATCAGCAAGGAAACATTTTGAACCAAAACTTTTATTAATTCCATAGATAACAGGACCAACTGAAATACAAAGAGAAAATATGAGCTGCTACATGATAAGCCCTTGTGTTCTAACAACAATGGGGGCTGTATTTTGATACACTGTTCTCCACATAAGTCACTTTTTGATATGCAGCCAAGGAGCTAAAACACTGATTTGAGAGGAAAATAAATACATTTTCACTATCTGCTGCATCGTTTCATTGTGAGTTTTTAGCACTAAAAGAACATTCAGGTTTGATTTTATATTTTTTTAGCTCATTACGTCACATCTTTGTATCATGTTAAAAAAAAAATACCAACAGTGGCACTGTTAGTATCTCCATATAGTGACCTTTTCCAGTATTGATCTCTGTGCTGGTACAGGAAAAACAGCAACACTGTCTCAGACTTGGGTGTCTCAACTCCAGATTTCAAGGATCATGGAGGTGTGTGGAAAGGCTGCCATGCCATTCCTGCAGACCAAGAGGCAGGAATTGCCCTGCCTTTGCTCTGGGGTGATCCCACCTGTCGTGGTGGGACACAGGAGTGTGGGGCATGACTCCATCCATGTTAATGATGTGGGATGAGTGGAAAGCACATCCTGTCTTCCTTACCTGCAGCTTCCCAGTCTGTGGGCTTTTGCCAACAAGCTGGCTGTAGGAACTGCTATGCCAGCCTGGCTCTGGGAGGAATTGGTCTGCAATGGTTTCTGCCACACTTGGGAGGTTTCCCAGCAGGGAGGAGGCTGTGGACCTTGGTTTGTGAGATCCCATAACTCAGTTTGCATAGACTGAAAGTCACACCAAGTTTCCTCTACCAAGGGTATCCTTGGAAAATCCCCTGGCGTGCTGCCCACTGCAGGCACCGGGCAGTTTGTTTCCAGGGGACTTTGTTGAAAGTCAGGTGGGAGCTTTATTTCAGAAAACATTTTGCTTTTGTTTCTGGAACGTTGCTTTAAATACTTTCCTTCTGCTTGCCTTTTTTTTCCCCCTGTCACTTCTCTTTGGTCTTGGTGCTTGACATTTGCTGATTTGGGGGAGGCTTAGTTTGGGAAATGATTTGTCACTGGAATCTGTGTATTATGGAAAGAGTGTTTGATACTCACTTGCTGTGATGAGCAGAGCTGCTCTGCTGCCCTCACAATGAGGATACCCAGGGGCCTGGGGGGGCAGCCCTCCCTCAGGGCAGGGACATGGACCAATCTGCACATCCCAACAGCTGCATTTCCTAATTGCAGACCTCCAGTCAAAAGGCGCAGCCATGAAAGATCCAAGTCGCAGCAGTACCAGCCCAAGCATCATCAGTGAAGATGTGATCATAAATGGTCATTCCCATGAAGATGACAATCCCTTTGCGGAGTATATGTGGATGGAGAATGAAGAGGAGTTCAACAGGCAGGCAAGTGATGTGCCTTTCCATTCTCCAGATGAAGGGAGAGGTGCTGTGGCCCAGGGTGCAAGGCTGGGAGTCCTTTGGAGACAGGGTTTTCAGACAGGCCTGCTGGGATAATGGGGGGAGCAGACAGATCCCAGTTCTCTCTGGCAATAAATGCCTATTTTCTGTCATCTTGGTGGAAAATACAGAAAGTGGGGCATGTTGTAATGCCTCCATTGATTCCCTACTTCTGCAGGAGGGAGGGAAAAAAAAATAGTTGTCAGACTTTAATGTGGCACTTTGGAAGGGAGGGATCTCGCTGAGCTGCAGAGGCTGCACATGTGTGGACATGCTGGCTGTGGTGGTGCTGACCTGGATACGTGCAGGTGCTTACCTGCCTGCTCAGCAGGGCTGTTGTTCCCCAGGGAGTTGGGGAACATAGCTGTTGAGTGACAATGAGGATACCCAGGGGCCTGGGGGGGCAGCCCTCCCTCAGGGCAGGGACATGGACCAATCTGCACATCCCAACAGCTGCATTTCCTAATTGCAGACCTCCAGTCAAAAGGCGCAGCCATGAAAGATCCAAGTCGCAGCAGTACCAGCCCAAGCATCATCAGTGAAGATGTGATCATAAATGGTCATTCCCATGAAGATGACAATCCCTTTGCGGAGTATATGTGGATGGAGAATGAAGAGGAGTTCAACAGGCAGGCAAGTGATGTGCCTTTCCATTCTCCAGATGAAGGGAGAGGTGCTGTGGCCCAGGGTGCAAGGCTGGGAGTCCTTTGGAGACAGGGTTTTCAGACAGGCCTGCTGGGATAATGGGGGGAGCAGACAGATCCCAGTTCTCTCTGGCAATAAATGCCTATTTTCTGTCATCTTGGTGGAAAATACATAAAGTGGGGCATGTTGTAATGCCTCCATTGATTCCCTACTTCTGCAGGAGGGAGGGAAAAAAAAATAGTTGTCAGACTTTAATGTGGCACTTTGGAAGGGAGGGATCTCGCTGAGCTGCAGAGGCTGCACATGTGTGGACATGCTGGCTGTGGTGGTGCTGACCTGGATACGTGCAGGTGCTTACCTGCCTGCTCAGCAGGGCTGTTGTTCCCCAGGGAGTTGGGGAACATAGCTGTTGAGTGATAGTCCTCTTGGTTGCTTAATACTTGAGTATCTGGCAGCTGGGTTGGAAGGAGGCCTCAGCTTCATCAGGCACCTTGCAGCTGGGCTCTCAGCCTTCTTCTCCCCACCACCCCTTTCCTAATCAGCTTGATCTTTGTACTCAGGTGGCTGCTCTCTCTGCACTCCTGCACAGGGTGGTTGTGCTGGAGCTTCTGAAACAGGAGATGGCTGCTACTCTCTTGTGGGTGCCAGCAGGGCCCAAAGCTAATCTGAAATTCAGGTTGCTCATAAAATCTAAATTATCTGGTACACACACCAGGGTGGTCTCAGTGTTGTTTCCTGATTGATGGGTTTTTCTTCCTTGGGGACTATACTGTAGCTGGCACATAGGATGTGTAGTTCTTCAGGAAGGAGAGGAGTTGTGCCATGAGTATACTATTTTTTCAGGTACATTTTCAGAGAGGAAAGATGGGAGCATGAGGGGGAGAATCTTACTCAGGCAAATACCACATGGCAGCCTGGTCATCTGTTGCTGCAGGCACATATCTCTGTGTGAATCTGAACAAGTTAAACTTGGGCTGGAAAATATGAACAGGCAATATTAATTTCAAGACATTTGGGGTTTTAAACACTATGTAGTACTTGTGGAGCTGCCCTTGGAGACATCTGCAGGTGTACAACCATGTAACAAAATACATGGAGCTGGGCCAACCCTGCTGTAACACTGGCTTGTGGCTGTGTGCCCATGGCTACCTGGTACCCACACAGAGGGAAGAAGGATTGTTGGGAGAGTGCTCTCCTGGCTGGGGTGCTTTACTGAGGGAAATGCCTGAGTTAGTGTTTCATGTGGGATTTTTCTGGACAATGTCTGGACAGTGGCTTAGAGCACACAGAAATGAGTCCCTGTTCCCTGAAGCTGAGCATCCTGAGCACGAGGGGAGCTGATGTGTTTGCCCCAAGCCCTGGGGACCCAGATTTGACAGGAATCCTGAATTCTCTGGCGTGACCTCCTTGGATTGGGTATCTGTGGTATGGAACTGCATTTCCACTTGCAGATCAAGTACGTGTTCAATTTCAGAGTCAAGGCTGAATAGGAAAACTTGTTTGAGCTTCCACTGAGTGAACTGTTACATCTGAACTGAATCGTTTTTCCACTCTCCTGTGTCTGGCAAGTCATTCACACCAGCTTCTATTCCCCTGCTTTCCATTCTCAAGAACTGTGATGCAGGACATGGAAAATTTGTCAGGATGAACTCCCTCCAGAGCTTGTTTACTGAACAACCAAGCAAAACTTTCCTTTAGTCTTTGCAATGCATGTCAGTTCTGCATCACTTGCTTTGTCCTGCTTATAGTGCAGTAGGTCAGTGTTCTTAACAACTGCTAAGATCATGTGGAGCTCCTTAGGAGAACTATATTGGGTGGGCTCATAATCCACAGCTGAGGAGATGCTTCTTGTTCCCCATTCCAAGTGACAGCCAGTGGTTATTTTTTTCCCAGGAGTCTTGCAGGACCGTTTCCTGGGGAGTGTGCCTGACTGTATGTGTTGTCCCTGTTTTTTTTTCCTCATACTTGCAGTGAGTTCAGTCCAGACAAGTTGATAGCTTGAAATTTTCACCTGGAATCAATATTTTCCTTCTTCTTGAGCTTGTGCAGACAAAACAGTTGGGGCTGAGGGCTTCTCCTGCCACTCCCTTTTAACTGCAGCTCAAGTTCCTGCAACAGAGCACTTTTTTACATAAACAAATCAAAGCCCCTTGCCCTCCTGCAGCACAGAGTGGGTTTCTGCTAGAAGTTCTGTTGCACAGCTAGAAAGGTCAGCTGGGTGCACAAACCTTGGTCTCGGTAAGTCTGTTGATGAAGCAGTTTCTTGTTGTGTAGATTGAAGAGGAGTTGTGGGAAGAAGAATTTATTGAGCGCTGCTTCCAGGAGATGCTGGAAGAAGAGGAGGAGCACGAGTGGTTTATTCCAGCCCGTGATCTCCCACAAACAATGGATCAAATCCAGGACCAGTTCAATGACCTTGTTATCAGTGACAGCTCATCACTGGAGGATCTGGTGGTAAATTCAGTTTCTCATCCTACACTAAAACTTGACATCTCTCCTAGTCCAAGGCTGGTTTTGCTGTTGATTGACAAGAGAAAATCCTTTGCACATAGGCCAGAGGCTCTCAAATGGTGCCTGGCTTTGGGGGTGTAAATGTGGAATGGTTGGATAAGGGATGTTTCCTCAAGTGGTGTGACCTATTCAGTAGTTGTCTTCATAACCACCTGGTGCCTTTCCTAGCCCATGGCATAAATCCCAGTGGCTTGGGGAATGTGTAGCAGGTTCTGAGGGAAGGGCAGTGAGGGAGGCACCTTGACCCTGTGAGGTGCAATTTGAGGACAGGACTGCAGGAATCTAATGCAGCATCTGTCAACAGTTAAGGTGTTGGGTAGGTATATGAGCCATGTCCCCAGGCCTGGTTTGGATCATGGGAACCATAGCAGGTCTCTTTGTAGAGATCTTAAGGGTGAGGAGAGCAGTAAATTATTTCCCTGTTTGTTGCTGTGTGTGACTTCTGCCCAGAGCTTAACTGAAAGGGAAGGACAGTGTGTACAGATTTTCCCTAACAAAATGCAGAGTACAAAAACTATCATGTCATGTAACTGCTGTGAAATTCAGATACAAACCTTCACTTTTCCAAGCTTAAGCAGCTGCAGACAACACTTTCAGACTCAATTAGGAGCATGGAAGCCTAATCCTCCATTTCTTCCTGATGAAGAGCTCATTTTGGAGGCACTGGCTGCCCACCTGGAGCTGCAGGGCAGTGCAGAGCAGAGGCTTGCAGAGTGGACAGGGCAGTCACAGACATAGAAACTGAAAAAAATCAACACACTGCTCAAGTATGTTCAGGGGCTCAAGTTCCTAGACCAAGTCTCCTTTTGCCTTTATAAGCAATGTCTAAAAACCTCATGGCACGTTTGAACAGCTCAGCCTCAGAAAAAGTGATTTCAGCAAGAAGCAAAGTTGCTGGTTTTGGTGCCTTCCCCGGGGTTTTCTTGTGTCTTATTCCCTAATCCCTTATCTGACTAAAACATCCACGTGGTGCTAGATGGTGGTGGATGATTCTGGTGCTAGCACAGGGGAGTGGGCTTTAGGGGCTTTGGGTGTATGCAGAAGCCCTAATCTGTGCCTCATTGTGACTCCAAATCTGTAAACTGGAAGTTTACAGATCCTGGAAATCCCCCAGGAATTGCATACAGCTTGAAAATGTGAGATGAAAATCATGATCCAGCTGCTCTTCTGTTTTTCCCTTCTTCAGGTCAAGAGTAATCTGAATCCAAACGCAAAGGAGTTTGTTCCTGGGGTGAAGTACTTAAATATTTGAGTAGACTGGGCCCTCTCTTGGTGGATGTAGCACAATTTCCACACTGTGAAGCCAGTATTAGAAGATTTAATTGTAAAAGCTCTCTCTTCTTGTCACTGTGTTACACTTATGCATTGCCAAAGTTTTGTTAGTCTTGCATGCTCAATTAAAGTGCTGAGACTGTTACTAAGTAAATCTGTCAAAAGTTTAATGGAAACATAATTGGATCCTGGCTCTGGAGAGGAGGACAGTGAGGTAAGAAAGCACCAGTCAAGTTAAGACAAAAGTACCACGTTAATAAAAACCTTCTGTAGACTCTGTCTTTTTAAACAGGACTCTGGAATTTGCTAAGGATGGTCTGTTTTTAAACTAAAGATGTGTTAACTGGTGCTAGTTTGCACCTGATCATGCCTTAAGCGAAAGGATCTCTGATTGTTATGCAAATTAGCTAACTTCCCCTTGGAATACCAGTATTGTTACTGATGTTAATTTCCCCCCTTCAAAAACGTCGTGCTCCTTTTGAGCAGCATGAGCTTGAACAGAAACGTTACAGACCTGAGCAGAGTCGTAGATCTCAGCTACTGAACTAACATCCCAGCCAGCAGGAGGAAGGAATTCCCTGTATACCTTTGCAGTGTGAGATCATGTTTAGCAAGCTGTCACTTTCTTAATCAGGTCACAGGAGATGGGAGTTTTCATCATAATTTCTTCCAGGAACCCCGAGGGTACATAGTGCTGCCTATGTAACTTTTAGCATACAACTTTATCACAGCTGGATTTAACCAAGGAAACCCTAGCATTAGTGATTTGAGTGGTGCTTTTCCCTTGCTTTGTTTAATCATCACTACACAATAGTCTACAGCACAACAACTTTTGGTTTTTTCGTTTTGTTTTGGGTTGTTTTTTTTTTCTTTGTTTTGGTTTATTTTATTTTTTTTTCTTTTAATAAAAGCTAGAACAGTTTTGGCTTCTTAAACTTCATATTCGGGTAGGTTAAGCTGCCATACGTGTTCAGTGTGAATAGTGTTTAAGTTGAAAATATTGTAAAAAAATTATATTTTTTCAAAAATATTTAAAAAAATAAATAAGAGTAGAACTGATGTGGTGCCTGGCTCCTGATTCTGCACCTCACCTGGCAGCTCCTCTGGCAGGGACAGGGAGGGATGGCACGATGGATGCGGCGCCTCTTTGTAAAACGATAGCCCAACATGTTCCTCTGGGCTTGGACTGGGATTGCTCTTTCTCCTGCTTGATGTGTTTGCCTGGATGTATTTTCCTTGGTTCTCCCAGCTGCTGATCCCCATCCAGCTCCCTGGCTGCTGGCAGCACTGGGCAGTCCCACTATAGAAAGCCACGGCTGCCTGGCACGGGGTGCCAGGAGCTGCCAGGAGGGTCTGGGCCACCCCTCAGGTACCATTCTGATCCATTCTTGCTCTGTAACTTTGCCCAACCTCACTGTTAATACCTTCTGGTTTTTTAAGCTGTGATGAAAGCAGCTGGAAACACTTCAGAAGTCCTGCAGAATAGGGGGGAGCCTTTCACAGGTGGTAGCTACAGCTTGACCACATTCCTGAACAGGGCTTGCTCCAGGTGAAGGAACCCCTCAGGAATTCAGTCAGACCAACTCATTTTGCTTTTCCTCTCCAAAATGCTAATTGCAATTATCCTAGGCTCCTTCCAGAGTGTTTGTTCCCTTCTCCCTTCCTCACCTGAGATCCTGGAAGGAGCAAAACTACTCTGGCGTTTCCACTGACTTGGAAATAGTTTAGACTTGAGCATGGAAAGACAGAAGGTCAGGAAATAACATCCTACTGTACCCCAGTTTATTTTTAGCAGGAGTTCCACCAGAGAACCCAGCAGCAGTTGCTGAGCTTCCGCGCAAGTTTCAGGCCTGGGTGCAATTAGCTCAGGGCAACTTGCAACTGAGTTGCTGCATCTGGGAACCAGCTCCTTGTGAAACCACGAACTCCTTGTGAAACCACCAGCTTCACCACACTTTCCTGCCTTTGCTTTGGGTTCTTTTTTTCCTGTTTTTTTTTTCCATAACCCAGGAAGGTTTCTTGAGGAGCTGAACTGGTCTCTGCTGGGCAAGAGCTGCTGGTCTCCCTGTCAGCCCCTGGGGTTTGTCACTGCAGCAGAGGTGACAGCACACTGGTGTTTTGGCTGTTGCTGGATGGCACTTGCACCATGGAGAGGTTTCTCTTCCTGCTCCAGCCCCAAAGAGCAGGCTGGAAGTGGGCAGGGAGCTGGGAGGGGACTCCACTGACCAAAGGTGCATTGCAGAGCAACAAACTAGGAGGGGAGGAGACAGGGCTCTTCACTGCCCAGAGCCACTGCTGTGCCCGTGGGAGGTGGTGAGTGCATTTGCATCATTTTGGAGCTCTGGGTCGTTATTTTTTTTCCCTTCTTCACTTATGAAACTGTGTCTTGAGCCATGGGTTTTCTCACTTCTACTCTCCTGCTCTAGCTGGAGAGGGAGTGTGTGTCCGTGTCACCACAGACAGGCTGTGACAGGGACATCTAGTGCTGGCTTTAGCTTTGCATTTTGGTGCTAAACCCAAGCCCAGAAATGGAAACCAACCTGGAAACCAACTGGCTGCTCCAAGCAGTGCTGCTGGGCTGGAGCCACCATCCAGTGTTCCCCAAAGCTGGATGGGTTTGCCAAGGGCTTGTGCTGAGCCTCCCCCACCCTGCACCCAGGCTGGGACAGAAGCCCACGCAGGAGCTAGTGCTGGACAACATTTAGTGTGTCTGTGTTGGGCAGCCCAGGAGGGAGCATGGAAAGCTGCAGGAGCCCCTGCAGAAGGGATGAGGGAGCAGTGCAGGACACAGGAAAGACACTGGCAGAGCAAGTGGGCTTGAATTTTTAATACTTGTTTTTAATGAATGATTTCAAAATGAGCATCCCAACACCAGGCTGGGTCCTGAGCCCTGCCCAGTGCTCGCGTTGGCTGCCCTGCTGGAGCCAAGGGTACACTGTGGGAGCTCCTGGCCCCGGGTGGGAACTGGGGGCTCTGGTGGTTCCTGATGAGCTTGAGCAAGTGCTGAGCAGGTCTTGACCAGCTGCAGCTTGAGGTGGAACAATGACACGGGGGGTCCCCGGGCCAGTACCCCAGGAGCTGGGGATGTCCCCAAAAGGCACCGTTGAGTTGCCCTAGCCCTGCATTCCAGATGAACACCAGAACCTTTTGCCTTTGGACTTGGTGGATGCTAAAGAACTCGGGACAGCACCCTCAGGAGCCTGGCTTGGCTTGCCCAGCGCCGGGACACGAGCACTGCCCAGGCTCAGACCTTGGTGCACACAGAGAGCCCGTCCGTGCCGTCCGGCGCCTCCGCAGCCCCTGCTTCGCCGCCCTTCCCCCGGGCCCTGAACCCGGTGAACACGGGGCAGATAGGCAGGTGCTTCAGCCACCGGCTTCTCCTCACCACGCTCATCCCGAAGGGGAAGTCGTAGCTCCTCAGGTTGGCTCTGCCTGTGCTGTCCGCGTGCGCTCCCGCCTTCCACTGCACCAGCCCTCGCTCCTCCTGCGTCCCTGCAGTGGCAGCACCATGTTGGCCCCGGCCCCTGCCATCCCCTCTTGCAGCTCTAACCCAAAATTAATCGGCTTTAATTACCCGGGATAGTGTTGTCCAGGATGAAGGCGATGGTTCCCCCGACGAACATCTCAGTCGTGAGCAGCACTGTCAGGATCTGGTCCAGCTCGGGGACACCTGCGAGAGCGCGGGACTGAGCCGGGGCGCGCTGCGACAAGCCGGATTTGGCCTAATTAATCAGTGCTTACCTGTTCTGCCCTCCCCTCCCTCTCTAACCACCCCAAAAAAAACCCGGGTGGGCTGGTACCTGTGTGAATGGCCTTGGGGTGGGAATCCAGGTAGTTGGGCAGTGTCAGCCCGAAAAACATGGCAAAGCCCAGCACGAAGAGGTTGCGGGAGGAGTTCATGTCGACGAACTGCAGGTTGGAGAGGCCGACGGCCGTGATCATTCCTGCCAACAGAGACAGGCTGCTTGACCCCGACCCCCCAAAGCCCACCCTTGCATCCCTCGGGTTCTCCAGCCCCTGGAATCCCCTGGGAAGTGTCCTGGGGCTGGTGGGGTTTGGCGCGCTGAGGTTACCGAACAAGGTGCAGAACATCCCGCCGAGGATGGGGTCGGGCAGGGAGGCGAAGAGCGCTGTGAACTTGCCAATAGTCCCCAGCACCAGCATGATGCCAGCCCCGTACTGGATCACCCTCCTACTCCCCACCTGCACAGAGAGACCAGCAGCAAGTGACAGCACCTGTCCTCCAGCACCGAGCCAGGATGCCTCCCCAGCCCCAGTACCTTTGTGATGCCCAGGACACCAATGTTGGGGCTGGAGGAGGTGGAGCCGTTGCCAGTCCCCAGCAGCCCCGCGATGATGCAGGAGATGCCTTCAGTGAAAATGCCCCTGGGGAAGAACACAAACAAGCTGGTCCTTGCTGCTTCCCTCCTGTGCTGGTGCCAGGGCCTGGGCAGGGTACCAGCAGCTGGATGTACCTGTTAATGGCGTGCCCGGGGGGCGGTGGGGCCCCTGCCAGCCGGGCACAGGAGTAGTAGTCCCCGATGGACTCGATGATGCCTGCCAGGGTGGCACTGAACATTCCCAGCACGGCTGCTGAGGTCACCTTGGGCAGACCCCACTGGCCTGCTTGGTGGGCAGAGCAGGTTGTCAGGGTGGAGGGCACCTTGGGACCTGTCCCCCCTGCTGATCACCAGCACTGCTTCAGGGCCCTCCCAGGTGCTCCAAGCCCTGGTGATGCTGTGCCAGGTTCCCCAAGGGGTGAAGGGGTGTTTTGGGGGTCCCGCGTGCCACAGGGCTGCCTGGCACTCACAGGGGTAGGGGACCCGAAACCAGGGTGCCACGGACAGGATCTCCCCCCGGGCATCTGTCCTGGCCTTGTAGCCATAGGCCTCGGGCTGGCTGGGGAAGACGCTGGCACGTGTCAGCACGTAGCAGAGCAACCACACCACCATGATGGCCATGATGATCTGTAGGGGCAGAGACCCGTGTCACTTACAAACCCATGGGGTGTAAAAGGGGGGGGGGGGGGGGAGGATTTTTGGGACCTCCCCCCAAGGACCCAGCAGCTCCCAGCCAGTCCCTACCGGGAACAACTTGAAGATCTGGACACGGAGCAGGACGAAGCCGCGGCCTCGCCGGTAGCCGGGCAGGCGCAGGGTGACGTGCTGCAGGTACTGGGCAAACAGGACGATCAGGAAGATGGTCCTGGGTGGGAGGGGAGAAGGGAAAGACCAGGTCCCTCGTGCCCGCAGCGTGCTGCTGGCTCCGGGGGGGGCAGCCCAACCCCCCGGTCCCCCCGTGCCCTACAGCGCAGCGATGCCCCAGTGGGAGCCAGCCCGCTCGCCCGCTGCCTGGAAGACGGAGAGGCCGATGAGGGAGACGGTGGGTGTGACGGTCAGAGGCCCGATGTAGCTGAGCAGTGCCCCGGGCAGCCCCAGCAGCCCGATGGCCACCTCCACCAGGCTGGACACCACGATGGCCCCCTGGATCTGCAGGGCACGGAAAAGGAAGATAGATGGTCAGCACCCTGTGGGCGATTTAGGGGTCCCCCCCCGGGGATGGTGGTGAGACGTACCTCCTGCATGCGGGGCTGCCAGATGTGAGAGGTGTTGAGGGGCAGCGTCCAGTTGCCATAGATCTGCTCTGGGGATGGAGGGGGGGTGAGGTGGTGCCCTGAGGGTGGGGAGTGGCTGGAGCCCCCCCTGCAGCCCCTCTGCCCTCACCTTCAGGTGGGCATCTCCACTTCTCCAGGGCCAGGATGGACTTGGCAGGGACCAGGAAAGCCAGGGCACTCGCCTGGAAGAGGGGCAGCCTGGGGAGGGGACAAGAGGGGATGCCTGTGCCCAGGGCCTGGGGATGGGCCAGGGGGTCTCTGCCAGGGGCTGAAGATCTACCTGATCCCCACGGTGGTCTGGATGAGGGTGGTGATGCCAACACAGGTGAAGATGGTGCCGATGAGGTAGCTGACGGTGAGCTGGTCCTTGCCGACGCACAGGCTCTCAGCCAGCAGGAAGGGGACGGCGATGGTGCCACTGAAGCAGGTCAGGTAGTGCTGGGGGGCAAGGGGGGGCTCAGCAGGTCCAGGGACCGGGGGGGTCCACGCTGTGGGGAGTGGGGACTCAGGCCCTGTCTAGGTGGGGTGTAACCCCCTTCCAGGCCGTACCTGGAAGCCGAGCAGGATGCAGAGGTACCAGGGGGGCACGTCCTCAATCCTGTAGAGCATGTTCACCTCTGGCCGGGGGAGCCCGGCAGCCACCCCGGGGTCCTGGCAGGCAGGGGGGCACAGCTCAGCCCCAGCTTAGCCCAGGGGCTGGGAACACTCTGCACTTTCCCAGCTGGTGGCACAGACAGCCTCATGGGAGCCCTTGCACCCGTGGGGGTGGGAAGGGGTCCCAGCAGGCTGGTCTCCACCCAACGCTGCATTACTGAAGGGTTTGGGGGTGCCCCAGTACTCACCCTGCCTGCTGCAGGCAGCTCCTTCCCAGGGGGATGCTGGGGGCTGGTGGGGGTCACGACTGAGTTCCCATTCTGGCAGCAAGGGTGAGGTGGGAGCCAGGTCAGTGTCGTCTTGGGTGTCCCATGGGAATGGGGCTGGGCTCTGCCCCAGTGACACAAGGGCCACGGAGCTACCGCTCAGCACGTGC